TACTTCAGACCGCTTCATATGGAGTACGTTCTTGCATTTGCTGTAGGTTAAAATCTGGCCCTAATTATCATAGCACCAAAGGGAGGGACATGTCCAGGGAATGCATGTCAAATGCATTCAGGCGAACAACGACTGAACTTTTCACAATACTCACAAAACTCAATGTTCAAGTTAAACAAGAAGTCTCCATTGACTTCTATTTAGTTTGTTTGTTTCGTTTCTTTCTTTTGTCAAGAGCTCATCCCACCCTCATTTCCAGTTGGAGAAAAAAAAACATTTGTTATGCCAAGCCAAATCAAGTTTCTTCACGTGTTCTACTACACAAACACACACACAGGTAAATGTTCTCAAAACTCTTCACTGTCACAATTGGTCTCATATCCTGTCCTATATAATATATATATATAGCATGCAGCAAGAAATACAGACAAATGTACCAAGTAATATGTTCTGTATGAAAATACTTCACTACTGATTACATTTTTATTAAGCCTGTCTCATGAACCCAAGTGTTAATATCTTGGAGTGTTTGGAGCGTATCATTTATGAGCGATAATGAAAGCAGTTTTGAACATGACAGCAGAACTTTGAAAAAGAAAGGAGAAAAAGCTTCCTGTATTGTTTGTATTTGACGTCAAAGGCTGAGCATTAGATCAAACTCTACACTATTTTGGCATCAAACCATCTTTAACTTAGCAGAAGAAAGACAAATTAAACAGGTGCCAACATAAACGGGTTGTATGACATGCATTCATCCTCAAAAACTATAAACAAAACTTTAAAATGATGACCCAGACTACATTAAATATGAGGGGTTTGCACGTTACGTTACGAAAACTGCTGTACTAAAGTACTGGTAACATCATTTTCAGAGTAAGTAGATTGTGTGAAGAGTAATGCTTCTAGTAAATGGAGAAGTAGCTGAAGAACAGGTTTAATTTCATTGTTCAAAAACTACAGATCAGTTTGATTAGATAAAACCCCTGAAACTCTTCAGGAGGTGGGACAAAAAAAAACAAAATCAATGATTATTCAAGCTAAATGAACATGGTATATAATTCATTTTATACATCATTTGTGCTGAATCATGTTTGTGTATCAGTGATTAATGTGTTAAAAAAATCGATGATGTTGAAGGGTGAGAAAACAAAGGGTCCCTTCATGTGGAGTGACATTCCTCTCGTTTCTACATCTACATCAGTTTCTACATCTTCAATGGCAACGGCATTGAGAGTTTTAATTCCCATCCATGTATTACATCTATGTCTTTTTGACTTTTCTTAACTTTAGCTCAAAGTTACTTGACACTCCATGATTGATCAGCTCTTGTTTTATCTGAAACAAAGATGGACAAACCGATCAAAATGTGTTTTATTTCCATTCTACTCTACTGGTTATAGTTACTGGTAAAAATTTCCCAGAGTAAAAAATAGAAAAGGCCATTGTGAGAAAGTCACAATTTTGTACAAAAAGATTATAAGTTCCCTCTAAGACAGAAAAGGGCTTCCAACGACTTCCAAATGACTTTAGTTATGAAAAGTGTGACTTACTTTCTGCAAAACAGCATCAATGTTTCCACTCTGTGTTAGGTCTGAAAAGGACTGAAGTTTCATTTGAACTCCTATGACGGATTCTAAAAGGACACACACACACATAATAAGACATTCTAACATGATATAAACAAACTGATAATGGTAACTAGGCTTGTCACGATAACAACTTTGTGTTGTGCAATATATTGCCCCACAAATAATTGCGATAAACAATATTATTGTCATTTTAAGACCATTTTATGCCACTGAATATATAATCATAATATAAAAGCATAATAATGCAAGAAGGCCAACACACTTTCAAATGACAACAAACTTTTGATTCTTAGGAATATTAAGATCATGGAAATCAAGTATCAAAATTTTAGATACCTTAAAAATTCACAAATAATTTTTATGTAAATATAATGGACAATATATTGCATCACCAAAAATTATTGAGGTCATGTACATATATTGTGCGAAAAGTCGATATATTGATTATTGCGACAGGCCTAATTTAACACATAATTTTGATAAAAGTCCTACCTGGTCCGTTGTTCACAAGAAAGGCCCAACGCCCCGGAACACCTACGTTAGTCGTGTTCTTGAGGATTGGGATGGAGTAGCCACCATTTGGATCATAATGAATTTGATAGTAGTCAGTGGAGTTTATTGTGTCATATCCAGCCTATTAAAATCAATGAAATGTTATTACATGCAGAGCTAGTAAATCATTATTTCAATACTGTAATATTTGTTTTACCCCCACTGCAGTTGGTATCGCAGCGCAGTCACCGTAATGTATCAGAATGAAAGAAAAAAACCCATCTGAAATTAAAACCGCTTGAACGGTGATTGCCTGAAAAGAAAAGAAACAACATCAAGATTCATAGTTTATACAGCCTTCAATCTTGTCCCTGAAAAAATAAAGAAATAAACTATTTACCGGGCCTGAGTGTTGATTAAATACATTCATATCCCATGTAAGCACATAGTCCCACGTTGCAACAAAGACCCAAGAAGCAGTGAAGTCCCTTCCAGGGAAATACTGGTTTATATCCTGAGTGGCGCGAGTGAGAACACTTCCACTGGTGTACTCCTGATACGAATATATACCTATACCAAGGTCATCAAGGTCAGTCAAGAGCGGAGCAATGTAATCTTCATCTCCATATGCGGGAAAAGGGTAAGGGTCTGTTTCTGGTATAGCTTGGCTAAATGTAAGGAGTCCGTTATTATTAACCTGAAATAAGATAAATCAGTTCAAATACAGCAGTAAACTATGAACTGGCGGATCACAACATATGCATTCATATTAGACTGGCAATAGAACTGGATTCTCACGTATGTGATGTTGTATGTGCGGCCAAAGTACGTAAATGGGGTGGAGAAGACAACAAGGTATGAGGTATCGCCACCGTTTTCAAGAATTTCAGTGTCTCCTGCCACCGCGCCGAACGGATAAAATATTACCGGTGCTGACGAGACAATGAACACAAATTCAGAAGTCTGAATTCCGACACAAATGCACTATTAATTCAAAAGTCGATAAAAAATACCTGTCCATGGAGTTGTTGTTGCAGTGGCTGTTAAAGAATAACAGTGTTTAATTATAAAACTCTTCTGTAAAGAACAATAAAAAACACATTGCATAGTCATATGAGTCTTCAATCAATCGCAACATTATTACTTGTTGAGACTGTGGTGGTCGATGTGGTGGTTTCTGAAAGAATGAACACAAATAAAAACACAGTAAAATACTGTACATCATGATCTCACTTCATGGGTGCAGCTTTTATATATTTCCTACTAAAACGGGACGCATTTGGGGCATTTGGCTGTAATTATTTAATTACATGACAGTGTTGTTGTTTCAGGTGTTGTTGTAATGACTGTTGATGAAAAGAGCATTAAATTATAAAACTCTTCTGTAAAATACATAAAAACATTGTATGGGCTTATTATATTTGACGTATTTCCACTCTTCAGATGTCCCATACTTTAGAAATAAACACAAATCCACAACACATTCTAGCTAGGAAAAACTTTAAAGGGGTCATATGATGCGATTTCAATTTTTCCTTTCTCTTTGGAGTGTTACGAGCTCTTGGTGCATAAAGAAGATCTGTAAAGTTGCAAAGACTAAAGTCTCAAATCCAAAGAGATATTCTTTATAAAAGTTAAGAGTCCCGCTTCGTCATGCCTGGAGCTGATCCGTGCTGGTCGCTAATGAAATACATCAACTTCGCGCTGTGGATCGCCAGAACGCCTTGCCCGGGGTCGTCACATGTGGTTGCCGCAAGCCCGCCGGCAGCGCCGTTCTCAAGCCCGCCCGCCTCTGCTCACTCAAGGCCGCGGTGTGTAACGCTGTTTGAAAGTGAAACTACTTTGTTTGGCCTTCCAAAAGAGGACACAACTAGAAATCAG